TTAATTATATATCCCCAATATACCACAGTTATTTAAAAAATTTGAAACAAAACACGATTTCCGAGGACTTAATCACTCCTATCGATGACGAAAATTAAATTGAATTGATGTATTTTCATATAAATTACTTATACTTATGTTTCAAAATGTACTAATTATTTTTGTATTTTATGAATATTAAAATAAATAATACTTAAATCAAACCTTTATATTAAATATGTTGATGGTATAAATTATTATTATATATGTAATTTATTCAACAATTTTAGTAAATCACTGTCCTTTCAAAACATCGCTTCGGTAAAATACGTCGGACAAAATGAATATACGTCAGTCATTTTTCTAAACTATTTATTTTGAAAGTGGCATAAGTCATTTTACCGTAATGAAAAATGGTGATTTTTTAATGTTTATACGAAATTATTTATACTGAGAAAAATATCAGTATCCTGAGATAGCAAATACAAGTAAATCTTCTCATTTACAACTTTCATTTTCTCATTTCAACTTTCTCATATTTTTAAACGTGTTAAAACGCAAACCCTTAAGTATATCGACTTAAAAATATCATTCTGCTACGTACAATGTTTCGTTAGCTCTGATAGTTCTTACAGTGCTCGGGGTCAAATACACGCGGCATGAATAATGCTGGATAAAAGTAAGGCCGTGACGAATGTTGCTACGAAAACACTATTTTTTCTGCACGAGGCTCAGGCAATCACCGCTTCTCGCGTTTAAGTGGTCACACTTCTGATTTGGTGAGATGTGGATCGGGCGACGTTCGTCGCGGGTCCAAAGCGGCGAAACGTGTACACAGAGTGTTTTTGCTGGACTCGGAACACCAACGACGCATCATCGTTTTTCATGCGAACGGTCCTACTTACGAATTAGTTAGGCTACGTGTCAATTGACATCAATTGAGCGGCGTGCAACAGCACCGCGGAGTCGTCGTTAGAGTTGTCTTTCCAACGAACCGCTCCCCTATTCGTCTACCAATAACCAGCTTCGAATCTGTCTTCTCGTGCGCATCGAGTTCGAACGTCGAACGAACGCGTTGTGGGAACAAGCCGGTTTCCCGCGGTTTAATTTTATTCCATTAAACGACACGTAATTCGGGTTTCCCGAGGACTTACCACTGTCAAGCTGTCCAATTCGCCGAGCCATTCGTTCAAAAGTTGTTCTGGGTCTGTCTCGTTGTCACTGTCCTCGGCTTCTTCCTCGTAACGCTCCATGATGTCGGCCTTTAATCCAGCTTACGACCGCGGCCTATATTGTTCTTTCCGCCTCCTGCAGACACACAAAACGTTTCACGTTAATTCGTTTGCTTAAACGCGTACTACCCGCGTATTGTAGATAATTAAGAAAGGGGTCGCTACATTCAGGGGTCCACGAAATCCCTCCGCGTAGAAATATGAAGCACCGGAGGCGCGCCACTCGACCCTTTCGCCTTGCAATTATTTGTTCGCAGTGGTACCGAGGCTCGAATGTTCGTGGCAAAAAATTGTTGAGAACGTAGTAGACTAGAGCCACTGTACGTTCAATAAATAAAACGACGTATATTCGGCAGTAACGTTTACGTGTGAAACGTTATATTCGGTACATTTCTACGAAGAGTGACATGGATTTATTTAAAAATTCTAAATCTACTAAAATGGAAGATAATCAAAAATGATATTTCATCATTTTTCTTAGTATCGGCATTTCATGATAAAATATTGGGCGTAAGATCGGATCTGGGTAAAAATATTTGAAAACGTATTGGAAATAATATTTCAAGATTTTAAGAAAGTACTATTTCAATTAATAATTTTTTGTACATATATATTTTAAGATTTATTTGACGTTATAGTAATAAATAGTTATTAATGTTGTGGTACAAAAAATCTCTTGATTTTCACATTTTTCAGTGTCTGTAGCTTGTCTCTACGTAAACCGATTTCAACTTGGCATATATATGCAGGGTGTCCCAAAAATGTCTCGCAATTCAAAAGTGACCGGTTCCTCAGGCCATTTGAAGCAACTTTTTCCTTTACAAAAATTTTCTCCGAGGCATCGTTATCGAGTTATTAACGAAAAACAGTGACCAATGAGAGGCGAGCTTGATTGGCGCGAGGCGACCGAGCCAATGAGCGGAACTGGGCTTCGCGCACTGGTTGGCTGGGCCGCCTCGCGTCAGCCGTATTGGATTCTTATTGGTCACTGTTTTTCGTTAATAACTCGTTAACGGTGCCTCGGAGAAAATTTTTGTAAAGGAAAAAGTTGCTTCAATTGATCCGAGAAACCCGCTATTTCCGGATTGCGAGCCTTTTTTGGGACACCCTGTATATATATAACTTACGGGGACCAACAAAACGCTCTGTTTAAATTAATGCTACAGGCTCAGATAAAAAGGTTGAGAAAACATCATTTATCAATTCTTTTATCATCCCAACAAATTGCAATTTTTGAAAACAAATTTTTAGCCGTCGCCCGGTAGACTAGTTCTTCAATCTAAACAAAATTCAAGTCATTTTGTTCAATGTGAAAAAAATCAGTCCTGTTTAAAAGTTCTCCGAATATTAATGCGATATTAAACTCCGATCATCCGATTCACGTCAATCATAGCAGACATCGTCCGATTTAGTTCAAATTTGACAGACGTATTCAGATTTTTGTAATTCAAAAACGAGACTAGTTTTTCTTAGATTCCAGATTCCTTTTCACAAGACTTCTTTCCTGCAACATGTTGGCATGTCGGGAACTGATTTAGCCCCGAAACCAGACGAAATAAGTTGATGGTCTCTCACCGGAGGGTGGGGGTGGGGGTAACGAGGTATCAATATTTCAAATAGAATTCTTATCCCCCGAAACGGGAATCTCGTTAACGGAACGTATAAATGATTCAAAAGTCTTTCCCGGTTGGACGATGGCGAATCGACGCAAATTGCGTTCGTGAGCGACAGACGTCGGCGAAGTTTACACTGGCTCGAATCGCGTGCGATTACCGCGCGAAGAAACCGCGTCCTTTCCATTCCAGGCCGACCGACAGACGTCGTGCCAGCGTGAATATTATTACTGAACTCACGGAAGAAGCAAACGGGCAATTCCGTCTGCCGCGCCCTCCGGAATCTGATCTGACACTGACATCTCAAATGACGCGATCGGGTCTGTCCTCTCTGTACACGATTTATCGGCGGCATTATCGAAACGGGGAGTCGCTGCCGCCAATTTCGGAGGGAATCAGCGGCGCTTAATGCTTAATTCCCGCCTATCGCCTAAGGGACACATTGACAATGGTCGTGTCAAACGTTGGAAGTACTATTACAGCGTTAACCCTTTACGGTCGTACGCTGACCGGTGCTCGACATTGGGGCCACTCTCCCTTGAAATCACACACGAACACGCGCCGCTTTTTAGGATCTGGATTGTACGATCTTCGATGCCTGAATTTGTTGTCGGCTGAATACGTTACTCATTTCAATAGTTCGCTATGGAGACAATCCGCGTGTGCATCGGTAAAAATGGAATTTGTCGCTGTACAGGATAGAAACGTACCGATGTGTCACGTCGCGCGAAATCACGCGAAATCATAGAAATGAAATCCGTCCACGCGTGACAATGCGCACATGAATAGCGTGACGTGATAGCGATCTGTTTCTAACAGATTTGAAGTAATAGAAATACGCAGGCTCGCATTGTTTCATTTGTCACGTGACATTAGCATGTTAATAAATTAACTAAGAAAAGGACGTACCGAAGTGATATGTTGGATTTTATGAAACTTCGTGAGAAGCTAGTTCGTAAGCAAAAATTTGGCGTTTTTTAAATATATCTTTGAAGCAAATTAAGATATTGAAAAGTACAGTAAATGATCCACTAAAAAAGTGGATAAGTGGAGAGGAGAAGATACGATCGTCCGTGCCTTGCGACTCGTTTTTATAGTTATCACGGTTGTACTTATTTATATATTGTACTTATTTATATGTATACATTTATATATACTTATATTATATTTCTAACGAAATTTAACCATTTTATTTTTTATATCACTGACATAGCGTGTGTCGTCTCGTATATTGTTAAGAGAGCAATATATGAGCCGCCGAAAATATTCATTTCAATTATGATTGGAAAATAAGCAGAAACACGGGTTGCGCCATCTTCGCAACAATCTCTGTACAATAGTCACAAGAGAACTATTTAACCTTTTAGGTACGGCTGAATTCTGCGCGAGGCTATTTCTCTGGACGGCAGAGTCTGATATGTACTGTACAGAGTCTGATACTGTATATTCTGTCTGTATATACAGGGTGTCCCAAAAATGTCTCGCAATCCGAAAGTGGCGGGTTCCTCGGACCATTTGAAGCAACTTTTTCCTTTACAAAAATTTTCTCCGAGGCATCGTTAACGAGTTATTAATGAAAAACAGTGACCAATGAGAGGCGAGCTCGATTGGCGCGAGGCGACCGAGCCAATGAGCGGAACTGGGCTTCGCGCGCTGGTTGGCTAGGCCGCCTCGCGTCAGCCGCACTCGATTCTTATTGGTCACTGTTTTTCGTTGATAACTCGTTAACGGTGCCTCGGAGAACATTTTTGTAAAGGAAGAAGTTGCTTCAAATGATCCGAGGAACCCGCCATTTCCGGATTGCCAGACATTTTTGGGACACCCTGTAGGCTGTTGTAAATCGATGTGAAGACAAAAGAAATGTGAAACATTGCATATGAAGACGATTATTTGATTCAAACGATGAGCGAGTGAGCTACTAGAGCAAGCCACTATAGTGGAGCGTCGTCCAGAGAGATGACATCCGCGAAAGCCACTATAGCGGTGTGTCGTTCTGAAAGATGACAAAAGGTTAAAGGGGATACGAATGTCGAAGTGTTATTCATAGTTACGTAACAAGCGAATTCTGAGAAGGTGTAGATTTCCTCTAAGAAATAGATTCTTCGAGATTTCTCTAAGAATAGATTCATGAATCGAGTTCCTCGGGTATTCTGAACTATATCCAGCGGCGCAAATGATGATCGAAGTGGACATACGTACACGAATTACCGGCGACGTTATTGCAAAGGGGAAGATTTACCTGTTATCCCCAATTCAGAGGGACTAGGGCCGATTAATCGACGATAATTGCGCCCGCGTATTGTATACCTGACACGGCCGCTTGCTTGTCTCCCTTCCGATCGCGACAATAGGGGAAAAGAGATTGGGTGTGACTGTTCGAACCAGTTACTCTTGGAAGCAACGCGTAAAACGATTTACGATCGCATAAAGCTGACGACGAAGAGGGAATTCTTTCTTTAATTCAGGGTTCTTACGGCGACCGGCGATGGTCACCCTTCGTAAGTCATAAATATATTCATAAGCTGTCACTTGTGTAGCAAGCAGGCTGTACATCTTCATCCGAATTTCCAACTTTATGGGTCGTTTTTGTGTGTACGGGACAAATATTTTCTGTCAACTGGAAAATTTCGCGCAGTAAAAATGAAAGGAAAACGATATAAGATCCGCGGTCCAGCCCATCAGTTTTTAGCGCGTCTTATGAAGAGGACGATAATAATCATAATTAGACCGCGAATTTTATGCGTTTACAGTTAAAATTAAACATTTTAGAACGTTGTTATATTATTTCCAACTATTTCGAACTGTTACAAGAAGAAACACATTTTCTTTAATCGTCCGTTTTATACAATTGAGATGCAACATTTCTATTTTGCATAAAGATCCGCAGTCTAATCGTAACGGTAAGTTCTTTCAGAGTAATTATTTGGTACGCACGAAAAGTAATTATCTAATACGTCGGGGAAGCGATGAAAAAGAATTAAAAATACGTATAGAAAAAGAAAAAACACGAAAACGTAAAATACACAATACAAATAGAATTAATGTAATACGACAAAATTTGATGGTTACCTTAAAAATTCGAAAGCAAATATTTTATTAGTTTAATTAATTATTTTTACTAATTTATTATTTTCAAGAAAGACAAGTCTCTTTGTACGGAACACCAACGTTAACGTTTAATATTTTCGAACACCAACAAATCTGAATAAAGAACAAGTCTGGAACACGTAACTATACAATATTCACTCGCTTTTTCATTTACAATTCCCTTCATTACCCATACCAGAAGAGAATTAGTCAGAATTGGACATATTTTATTCGACAAACGAATAACAAATAAAATTTCATTCGCAAATTTATCGAAATAAAAAGTTTGAATAAGCCTTCATTGGGTAAATATATTTGAAAAGTCATCCGAATAGAACTTTATTCGAATGATTTACTATAATATTCGAAGTGATA